GGTCGCGATCCGCGCCCACCGGCCCCTGGGCATGGTCCAGATTAGGCAGCGACGCGGCCGGCGCGGCGCCCCCGGCGGACCTCCGCGCCGGTACGGGGCGTCCATCCCCTCCGAGGCCGGGCGGGCCGGTCCTGGTGCCGCGCGCGGGGCCGGCGCCCGTCTGCGCCTACATTCGGTGTGGCTACCGGCCGGGCCGCGTCCGCGCTGCGTGGGGAAGGGAGCAGGCCGGCGGAGGCCGGAGGGCGGGGGCCCTGCCCGCGGGAGGCGGCACCGGGGCTTGAACCCGGGCGGGGCGGGTCCCGAGTGTTGCCCAGAGACCTGAGCCTGGATCAAGGTGCAGCTATTTCAGAATAGGTCTCCATTTTATAACTGGGGCCTGACCGGGCCCTGAACCCTAAAGCTCTTGAAAAGAAAAAATAAATAAACTCCCCTTGCGATAAACTCCCCTAGCAACAGCCAATCAGCAGATGGAAGAGAAATACCTACAGCTCCAGGTGTCTCAGGTGGTTAAGGTGACTGATAACATCCTGCAATTTGGCACGTACGCCCTAGCAGCTCAGACCCTATATGTTAGCCGATCAGTTTAAAAGGCATCGAGCCCAAAAGCCATCCAACCACCTTTACTGGGTCCATTCCCGCCGCTGGGTGCACGAATCAGTTTTCAGAGATGTTCTTTGAATTTCCCGCGGAATGAGGTGCTTTGCTGAATGGTGCTATAATGTATAGAATGTCTCTGAAAGCCCTGTAGAAACCCGGTTAACTGAGAGTCGGGCTCTCCATTCGGATCCGCTGTGCCTGTGAGAGTTGAGAGCCCAGGCCCGGACCTGCAATAAAACTCTGGTGTTTTATAGCAGTATCGGCTCCTTGGTGGTCTTCGGGACAATCGAACTGGGCGTAATGTTGCATCCACTAAAACAGAGTATTACAAAAACCAGTGACAGTCGCGCATGAATTTTATTGAAAATGAGAAGCAAATGAGAGGCAAGGTAACCGCTCAGGACCGACCACCAATCGGGACCGACACTCCTTACCAGAGTACAGCCCCCAACATCGAGTTACACTGGCTTTTTGTTGTATTCTGTCCACTAGGGCTCACAATTTGGAACCTGGCCCCTGGTATGCAGTGAACAATAAAAAAAACCAGAACATGGTTGTAAGATAACAGTTAACAACAATAAACCCAACAACAGGTCCAAGAAACGGTTGTAAGATAACAGTGGAGGACACATTTCGGTCAACCCAGTTCCTGGGAATTGGGGCCCACAGAGTTTCACAAGACACACCCTTGGCCGTCAGCGAGCAAAGCTGATGTGTGCAGAAGCAAGAGGTCTGCAGTGAGCTGTTAGGCCACTCACCCCGTTCTGCCTCCACAGGAGCCCCTGGTTTTAACCCCCAGCATGGGCCTCTGGCCTGGGCTCCTGTGGAGGTAACTTTGATATTGAAATAGTGTGACCCAACTATATGATTGTTAATTTTTTTTAAAGGTTTGGGAGCCAGTGCTGTGGCACAGCAGGCCAAGCTGCTGCTCGGGATGCCAGCATCCCATATCAGAGTGCCCTGTTGGAGTCTCGGCCTCTCTGCACTTCCGATCCAGCTTCCTGCCAACACACCTGGGAGGCAGAGGAGGACGGTGCAAGTACTCGGATCCCTGACACCCACATGGGAGGCCCTGAAGGGTTGCCTGGCTCTGGCCTTGTCCTGGCTCAGCCCTGGCTATTGAGGCCATTTGGCGAGTGAATCAGCAGATGGAAGGTCTCTCTCTCTTTCTCCCTGTCCCTTCCATTCTCTCTGTCACTCTGCCCTTCAAATAAAAATAGATAGATAGATAAATAGATAGACAGACAGATTTTTGGGAAAAGAGGGTTGAAAACATTTAAGGAGACCAAAGGGCAGACACAAAGTCCCCCCTCTTCCCAGTCCCCTGTTCTCCTCCCCGGGGCACTCCCTGTTCATTCCTGGAACTACATCCCATGTTGCACTGGGAGACATGCAGGCACATTTTAAAAAGTTCATGGAAAAATGCACATTATGAAGAAACAATGCAAGGATTTCATAAACTTTCTGCACCAAAATAAATAGCTTTAAAAAATTTCATCCTGGTCTCCCACATGGGTGCAGGGGCCCATGCACTGGGTCATTTTCTGCTGCCTTCCCAGGATTACTAGCAGGGAGCTGGATCGGCAGTTCAGCAGCCAGGTCTCAAATGGGCGCCCGTGTGGGATGCTGGCGTCGCAGGTGGAGGTTTAGTCTGCTACGTGAAGGCTTAACCTGCTACGCTACGGCGCCGGGCCCTGAGCAGCAGAATCCCAGACGTCAAGTCAGGGCTGGTGTTGTGGCGCAGCGGGCTAAGCCACCGCTTGCAACACTGGCATCACCTACGGGCTCCACTTCTGATCCGGCTCCTGGGAAAGCATCAGATGATGACCGAGTGCTTGGGCTCCTGCTACCCGTGTGGGAAACCCAAATGAAGCTCCTGGCTTCACCCTGGCCCAGGCTCAGCCATCGCAGTCATCTGGGGAGTGAACCAGCAGATGGAAGATCTGTCCCTCTCTCTCTGTAACTCTCCCTTTCAAATAAATTAATCTTAAAAAAAAAAAGTGTTTGCATATTGATGTACACATTCTTTTCATTATAAGTATCTCTCCTTTTCTTTCACCTTTAAACTCTGGGTAGGGATTTGTTTACTATTTTAAGAATTGTCTGGGGGCCGGTGCTGTGCAACCGCCTGTGCCATTGCCTGCAGTGCCTGAATCCCATACGGGCACTGGTTTCAATCCCGGCTGCTCCACTTCCGATCCAGCTCTCTTCTATGGCCTGGGAAAGCAGTAGAAGATGGCCCAGGTCCTTGGGCCCCTGCACCCGCATGGGAGACCTGGAAGAAACTCCTGGCTCCTGGCTTCGGATCAGTGCAGCTCTGGCTGTTGCAGCCATCTGGGGAGTGAACCAGTGGGTGGAAGACCTCTCTCTCTCTCTCTCTCTCTCTGCTTCTCTGTAACTCTGCCTACCAAATAAATAAATATTTTTTAAAAATCAAGAAAGAGATGCTACTGTATTAAACAATGTATAGAAAGGATAATGAATGGAATGAAATTGGTTGAGGAATATTAATATATTAAAAAAAAACAGTCTGTGGGAGCCTCACTCTCCATAGTAATTGTGACCGAAGAATTCAGGTCCCTGTCGGCCAGTTAGAAGTGGTTAGCATGCCTTTCTCTCTGTCTCTCTCTCTCACTGTCCACTCTACCTGTCAAAAAAAAAAAAAAAAAAAAAAAGGTTAGCATGGCCGCGGGTCTTAAGACACAGGGGTCAGGTTTGGTGATGGGCTGGAGCAATCCCCTGGAGCTGAGTCTGTTTTAATCTCTCTCTCTCTCTCTCTCTCTCTCTCTCTCTCTCTCGTCGGCTCTTCGCGAGGGACAGGAAAGGCCCTGAGATGGCTGAGGGATTGCGGTTGGGCACGCCCTGGAGTTTTCTGAAAACCTCTTGGCAGGACCCGGGCGCCAGCAAGCACATGTGGGCGCCAGGCTGGGACGTGCACTTTGTGCTGGGAGTGGCGCTCCAGTGGCCGGCCGCGGTCTGGGGCGAGGCCCTGGGGCCGGGCTCCACGCCCCAGCAAGTCCTCTCTTTACCCCAGAACCTGACAAGATCTCCGTCTCTCTGTACCTCTAAATTCTCTCCTTACCTCGCCAGATCGCCTCAGTTCTTACAAACCCCAAGTCCCGGTCCCATCACTGGCATTTGCTAGACACCTGGTTAGTTCTGGGTCAGGGGCTGGGTCTCGCTTCCGCAGACAGGACGGCTGTTCCATCCAGACGCCCAGCAGGTGCAGCTCCCCGCATGGCCTGAACTTGGGCCAGGCCCTTCCCACACAGTACCTCAGGGAAGCTGACTGGGGAGAATCTTTATTCCCGGCCCCCACCAGGCTCCTTTATTGCTTCACCTGCCTCGTCACTAACCTAAGCGGTGGCCAGGCCTGCTGCCTGCTCTGCAGACTCCGGCTCAGAACACTGTGGCTACGGCCTGTGCGTGAAGGCTCACTGTTGAAAGCAGGCCTGTGAGCTAGGACTCCAGGTTAAGAGGCGCAGAACAACCGTTTCTCTTCGTGGAGGGCAGCAAGGCGAGGGTAGATATTGACCAGGCAGAGGCTCGATTCCAGCACGCCACCGGTCAAGGGAACTGACCGCTCCCTGCACGAGCTGTGCTGACAGATACACACCCCAGGTTATGGGCATGGCTGACACGTGCTCATCCCACCTGCACCTCCCTCCCTGCCGGGCGGGCTCCAGTGCAAGTCCAGACGGCAGAGGCATCGAGGGTTCTGGGAGACGTCTCAGACTCAGCACACGGAGGAGCTGAGGGGAGCTCCCGTTTCTGCGCTCTTGTTCCGGGTGGGAAGCAAACCAAGTGCAGTAGGCATTCCCTTGGCTGCGTCCTTAGACAGCAAGAACCCTCTGACACCCTGGAGCTTAAAGAAAAAAATGCCTCATCTTTTTCTGCACCACTGCCTGGCCTGGTTGCAAGCTAAAGGCTGCTGACCGTCAGCCTAAGTGGGTCGAGTTTCCTTGTGCCCAGGCTTTCTTTGTGCTGAACTATCCCACTTGGAAAAGTACTCAGAGGGGCCGGCGCCGTTGCATTGTGGGTAAATCAGCCACCTGCAGTGCTGGCATCCCATATGGGTGTTGGTTCGAGTCCTGGCTGTTCCACTTCCAATCCAGCTCTTTGCTATGGCCTAGGAAAACAGTAGAAGATGGCCCAAGTGCTTGGCCCCTGCACCCACGTGGGAGACCTGGAAGAAGCTCCTGGCTTCTGGCTTTAGGTTGGCACAGCTCCAGCCATTGCAGCCATCTGGAGAGTGAACCAGCGAATGGAAGACCTCTCTCTCGCTCGCTCTCTTTTTCTCCCTCTCTCTCTGTAACTGTGTCTTTCAAATAAATAATATTTTTTAAAGAAATCACTCAGAAAGTAATCCCACTGAGTAAAAAGATACTAACAGTTCCTCAAATGGGACAATGGTATTGTGGCTATGTTTAAAAAGGGAGAGTGAGTGCTTACCTTTGAGAGATTTTTTGGAGGAATGACAGATGTGGGGTTGCTTTGAAATAACGCACAGAAGGCTGGGCGTTTGGCATAGCAGCTAAGACACAGCGTGGGACACCACATCCCGGACCTGAGTGCTGGCTTCGGCTTCCTTCTCTGCTCCCCATTCCAGTTGCCTGATCACACCCTGGGAGGCAGCAGTGATGGCTCAGGGAGTTGGGTCCCTGCCACCCACGTGGGAGACCTGGCTCGAGTTCTGGGCTCCTGGCTTCCGCTTAGCTCAGCCCAGGTGTTGCAGGCATTTAGGGGGTGGATCATTAGATGGGAGTGTATTCTCTCTCACATACATTTTTAAAAAATAGTAATACACTGGGGATCTGGGTAGAAATATACATATATATTTTATTTTTTGACAGGCAGAGTGGACAGTGAGAGAGAGAAACAGAGAGAAAGGTCTTTCTTTGCCGTTGGTTCACCCTCCAATGGCCGCCACGGCTAGCGCGCTGCGGCTGGTGCACCGCGCTGATCCGATGGCAGGAGCCAGGTGCCTCTCCTGGTCTTCCATGGGGTGCAGAGCCCAAGCACTTGGGCCATCCTCCACTGCACTCCCTGGCCACAGCAGAGAGCTGGCCTGGAAGAGGGGCAACCGGGACAGAATCCGGCGCCCCGACCGGGACTAGAACCTGGTGTGCCGGCGCCACAAGGCGGAGGATTAGCCTAGTGAGCTGCGGCACCGGCCGCATATATATATATATATATATATATATATAAAAGATTTTTTTTATTTGAGAGGGAGAGTTACAGTGAGAAAGAGGGACAGAGAGAGAGGTCTTCCATCCCCTGGTTCACTCCCCAGGTGGCCACAACAGCAGGAGCGGCACCGATCTGAAGCCGGGAGCCAGGAGTTTCCTCCAGGTCTCCCACACAGGTGCAGGGGCCCAAGCACTTGGGCCATCTTCTACTGCTTTCCCAGGCCATAGCAGAGAGCTGGAGACAGGAAGTAGAGCAGCCAGGCCTGGAACTGGCCCCTATATGGGATCCTGGCACTGCAGGCAGAGGATTAACCTTCTGTGCCACAGCGCTGACCCCGAAGTACATATTTAAACACGGATAATGAGTTTTTCCAAAAGGCAAAGTTGCAATAAATCTTGTTTAAAGATAAAACTGGCTTTTATTTGCGATTCTAGAATGAGGCAATGCCTCACCCCATAAAACTGACCCAGTGCTGATGAGCCTAACAGAGGGGGTGGCTTCCTAGGCCGGATGGGGCCGAGAACAGGGGAGACAGAACAGGAAGCAGAGCGCCCGGGGCGCAGGCTGAGACCGTGTGGCCTCGGTCATTCCCGCGATCCCACAGGCTGAGGTTTCCACAGAGGCAGGTAACCTGCCCCAGCCCCCAGGAGGTGAGCAGGTGAGCCTGGCCTACTGACGTCTCAGTAAGGAGCGGCTGGAGCAGACCCTGACTCCTGTCGATTACCCAAGGCCAGAGTTTCAGGGCTGCGGCGAATCACGGCGTTGGACCCCACGCCCCTCCCCTTTGCCTGTCTCTTCGCGGGGAAGATGGTTTCTTTCGGACACCGCCCCACCGTCAGGGTTTGCTGAAGCTGAATTAACTCGCTTCCTGTGCATCAACACTTTGCTCTCAGGTCCACCATGCAATGGGCAGACGGTAGCAACTGGACTTCTTATCACGCCAGCTAAAGCCTGCCTGCCTGGCGATTTGACATTATCTTTCTCTCTCCTGATTCTTTTACTTAAGATTTATTTATTTGAAAGACAAAATTAGAGAGAGAGAGAAAGATCTTCCATCCTCTGATTCACTCCCTAAATGGCCACAATGGCTGGGGCTGGGCCAGGCTGAAGCCAGGAGCCTGGAACTCCATCTGGGTCTCCCACGTGGGTGGCACAGGGAGCAGGGGCCCAAGCATTGAGCCATTCTTTGCTGCCTGCCCAGGCGCATCAGTAGGGAGCTGGATCTGAAGTGCAGCAGCCGGAGCTTGCACAGAGTGCTAGGTTCTCTGGCCTTTATGCCCCAGTAAGGCGAAGAGGTAACGGGTTGAGGCAGGAGCGTTTTACTGAAACCAGGATAGTAGGAAAGGGGGGAGGGTAGAAGCATGGTCAGACAGCAGTCAGGAGTCCGAGAGACTCAGCCCACCAGGCGGTGGGCAGCAGCCTACCTATGCTGTTCGTTGGGAGGGGGACACGCAGCCATGCAGACCCCCGTTCACAGTGGTAAGGTGGGCCTGACCAGGCGGGATGGCGCCTCAATGGGTGTTTATGGAAGTTAACAATTTACGACACGCGCCCTCATCGGCCAGGCAGGTGGCCCTCAGGGTCAGAGCCCACGGAATCTTCGGCCACTTGACACGCTCAGGGTCCTTCTTCACTGGGCTCCGTGTGCCACGCGGGAAGTTAACTATCTGTGTCCCAGCGACCTTGAAAGTCTGCCCATGGAGTTCATCCAGTATTTCTTTATAGCAACACGGTGGACTCACACACCCAGTAGATTATTTCTGGTCCCTTTCTGTACTTTAAAGATACTTGTGCCTGTCATGTTTTTTCTTCAGCCCTCAACAACGTGTGGTTGGGATAAAACTCCTGTGACCAAAGACAGAGAAACAAGAGGAGAGCAGGTTCAGGAACATGCACAGTGCACACCACGTGGAAAAACCCTCAGTGCAAAAGCAGCGACAGGGACCCGCCTTAAACAACATCTTCACAAAGAGCGCCGGGCTTCAGGCAGCGCCACGCTTCAGGCAGCGCCACGCAGCTTCAGGCTGCCGAGCAGGGAAGACCGGGCGGAGGAGTCAAGCCTGCTGCCGGCGCCATCAGCGCGACTCCGAGCTGGGGCGCAAAACCCAGCGTCTCTGCGCTTAGGGGAGACGGGCGGCGCGCAGCAAGGCCTCGTGTCTCTGCGCGCAGGCAGGCAGAGCCACGCGGAGCGCGCTCTGCAGCTCAACAGTCCTCAACACTCGGGGAGAAATCTTTGCTCTCCTTCTCCTTCGATATATTTCTCTAGTGGACGTCTCAGGGCAGGCGCGCGGGCTGGGGAACCCACATCCCGTATCGGGGTTCCTGGGGTCAAGTCCTGGCTCTGCTCCCGACTCCAGCTTCCTGCTAACGCTGATCCTGGGGGGCAGTGGTGTAGCTGGGTCCCCGACACGCACGCGGGAGGCCCGGATGGAGCTCCTGCTCCCGGCTTTGTCCTGGCCAAGTCCTGCCTGTTGAACCAGCTGATGGGAGCTCTGCCGGCCTTTTTGCTTCTCACATAAGTAATTTTTTGAAAAATGAATTTATCTTTTAATTCCCTTTTCCTGAGATCTTCATGTATTACTTATTTGAGAGGCACAAAGACAGAGAGCGCCTCTGACAGCCAGAGTCGGGCCAGGGCCATTGCCAGGAGCCCGGAATTCAGCCCAGGCCTCCCACACGCGTGGCAGGGACCCACGTACTTAGCGCCACCTGCTGCCTCCCACGCTCTGCTTTGGTGAGCTGGGACACTGGAGTTGTAGGTGGGAGTCAAAAATTAATCCGCGTGTGACGCAGACGTACGGAAAACACAGCACCTGTGGACAGGCACGCGGCAGCCTGGGAGCTCACCTGCCTTCTGTCCAGGAGAAGTGGCAGGAAGAACCGCACCCCTGCCCTGTAAGCCCCAGTCTGAAGTCAGACGCCCGCCCAGCCGGCAGCCCCTTCCTGAGCCCCACCTGGCCTGTCTTGCTCTCCCAGCTGGATGGCTGGGCGCTTGCTCTCAGATTCCGGCCGGAGGTGTCCATCCATTCTGATGGATGCCCTACCCCATCGAACCTTGCTGACCACCGCTCTGTCTCGTGCGTGGATTCTTTCTTGTGCATAGATGAGAACCTCTGTTCAACTCATCTCCGCTAACAGAACCAGGAGCTGGAAACAGGACTTGGACCAAGACCTGAATATGGGAGGTAGACATCTTAACCACGAGACCAAACACCTGTCCTTACACTTCAATGTATTTTTCAAAAAGATTGGTTTATTTGAAAGGTGAGCAATAGAGAGAGAGGAAGATGGAGAGACAAAGATCTCCTGTCTGCTGGTTCCTCCTCAAATCCCTCACCAGTCAAGCTGGGCCAGGCCAGGGGCCAGGAACTCCATCCGGGTCTCCCACACGGACGGCAGCGGCCCAAGCACTGGGGCCATCCTCTGCTGCTTTCCCAGGTGCAGTAGCAGGGAGCTGGAATGGAAGTGGAGCAGCCAGGACTTTAACTGGCACACATGCGGGATGCTGGAATCGCAGGCGGTGGCTTTAACTCATCACACCACCATGCTGGCCCCACACTATCTTTCAACTCCACCTGGACTTTTTGAAATCCCCTCGTCGTCCCGGCTCTTCCCCCTGAAGCAGAGCTGACAAGGGCTCGGAGCACCGGGTTGGAAAGTCACTTTAAACAATATTTTCATTTCATGTGCAAGGCAGAGGGACAGAGCGAGATTGTCCATCTGCTGGTTCACTTCCCAACTGCCTGCAACAGCCAGGGCTGGGCCAGCTGGACGCCAGGAATCTGGAGCTCATTCCGAGTTTCCCAGGGGGACAGCAGGAGCCCAGCAGCAGCCTTCCTGGGTGCACCTTAGCAGGAAGTTGGTCAGGAGTGGAGGAGCCAGGACTTGAACCAGGTGCTCCCAAGTGCAATGCGGGTGTCCCCCCAAGAGGCGACTTCACTGCTGCCCCGACAGCTCACTTACCTCTCATCAGAAGCAGTTTCTTCCTGGACTAAACGTAGGCCGTCACCTTCGTTCCTGCAGCCGCTCAGTTTCTGTTGCTACAAGACAATTCCTGAAACTGGGTACTTCAGAAAGCAGAGTTACGTAGCACACAGTTTGGATTGCTTATTTATTTTCATTTCTATGTATGAGGCAGGCAGAGATTTTCCATCCGCTGGTTCACTTTCCAAATGCCTGCAACAGGCCAGGGCAGGGCCAGGCCAAAGCCGGGGTCCTGGTGTCTGTGCAAGGCCCAGTTTAGGGGCTGGTCTCACAGCCACCAGGCCTCAGGCCCTCGCCCCGCACCCCACTCCACTCCGCGCAGTAAGAGCTGAGCAGTTCCTCGGGGCTTCCCGCTGAGCCCCTGCACACAGACAGTGCCCTGACTGCACTCGGGGTGCCCTGCCCAGGAGTGCTACAGCCTGGCTGGTCCCAGCTGCTGGAGAGGGGCTCAGAATTTGGAAGAAAATGCTGGGGGAGGGGGGATGGCTGAGAGAAACAGCAAAGCCCAGCGGAGGACGCCCCGATTTCCGGTCCAAGAAGGGAAGAGAGCGCGTTGCCCTTTACCACGAGGCTGAACATACTGGGCGGGGACACCAGGACACCATTTTGGGGAAACTGAAGCTCAAAAATGTCAAGCCTGGGGCCAGCGCAGTGGCATAGCAGGTAAAGCTGCTGCCTGCGGTGCCGGCATCCCATATGGGCGCCAGTTCGAGTTCTGGCTGCTCCACTTCCAATCCAGCTCTCTGCTGTGGCCTGGGAAAGCAGTGGAGGATGGCCCAAGTCCTTGGGCCCCTGCACCCACATGGGAGACCTGGAAGAAGCTCCTGGCTGCATTGTAGCCATTTGGGAAGTGAACCAGTGGATGGAAGACCTCTCTCTCTGTGTCTGTCTGTCTCTCTCTCTCTGCCTCTGCAACTCTGCCTTTCAAATAAAATAAATAAATCTTTTTTTAAACCTGAAGGATGCCATGGAACTGGTTTTTGTTTTTTGTTTAGATTTATTTATTTATTTGAAAGTCAGAGTTACACAGAGAGAGAGGGAGAGGTCTTCCATCCTCTGGTTCACTCCCCAATTGGCCACAATGGCCGGAGCTGCACCAATCCGAAGCCAGGAGCTTCTTCCGGGTCTCCCAGGCGGGTGCAGGGGCCCAAGGACTTGAGCCATCCTCCACTGCTTTCCCAGGCCATAGCAGAGAGCTGGATCAGAAATGGAACAGCCAGGACTAGAACCAGCACCCATGTGGGATGCTGGCACTGCAGGCAGCAGCTTTATCTGCTATGCCACAGTGCTGGCCCCCAAATAAATAAATCTTTAAAAATAAATAAATAAAAAGTCAAGCCTGGTGGCGAGGGTGTAATGCAGAGCAAGGAGGTGAAGCCGTTTTGGGCCAACCCCACCTCCGAGCTGCAGGAGAGGAGTGGCTTATGACGCCCCAGACCTGGTGGCAAACATTTCTCACCAATGATCTCACTGAGACACTGGGGTCCCCTTTCAGGGAGAACAACGGGGGCCCTCAGACAGCGGAGGTGGCTGGCTTCAGTGCTCGCCCCAGGGTGCTCACGAAACCACTGCTCTCCTTCCCGCCTCCGCCCCCAGCCAGCTCATCCCTGCTGATTGGCTCAGACCCAATTCCTCCCAGCCTCCACCCGCCCACGCTGCAAGGGCCCCTGGGAGACACTGTCAAAGGCCATTGCCACCCCGGGTGGGGACACCAGGAACAGCCCCTATCAGCCTGAGCCAACTGCCGGGACTCCAGGCCAGGAGCAGCAGGGTCCCTGTGGGGCTGGCATCAGCTGTCTCATGTGGTCGTGCCCTATGTGGTGCTGGGACAGGTGGCCAGGCCTCGTCACTCTTGCACATCCACAGCCAAGCTCTCAGCAAACCCTGTTGACTCCAGCTGCAGTCTGCCCCCACTGTGGCCCCCACCCTGTCCTGCCCACCTGCACCTCCAGTCAGGAACACGGAGGCAGCTGATGCCACCCTGACCTCACCATCCACTCTGCCACCAGGGGGAGCCCGTGAGCACCTGCGCCATCTTTCCCAAGGACCCCCTTCTGCCTCCCACTTAAAAAAACGATTATTTTTATTTATTTGAAAGGCAGAGCCACAGAGAGAGAGGAGAGACAGAGATAAATCATCCATCTGCTGGTTCACTCCCCAGATGGTCTCAACAGCCAGGGCTGGGCCAGACCGAAGCCAGGAGCCAGGCACTTTCTCCAAGTCTCCCATCCGGATGTAGGGGCCCAAGTACTTGGGCCATCTTCTGCTGCCCTCCCAGGCACACTAGCAGGGAGCTGGATCAGAAGTGAAGTGCCCATATAGGATGCCAGCACCACAGGTGGTGGCTTTACTCGCTAGGCCCCAGTGCTGGCCCCCTCCCCCCTTTTAAGATTTTCTTCAAATATCACCTTCTCAGCCAGGCCTTCCCAACCAATGCCTTTATTTAATTATGTATTTAAATTTTAATTTATTTTATTATTTTAAGGCAAAGAGAGAGAGAGATCGTCCATCCCCTGGTTTGCTCCCCAGTGCCCACAACAGCCAGGGCTGAACCAGGCCTAAGCCAGGAGGCAGGAACTCCATCTGGGTCTCCCATGCGGGTGACAGGGACCCAAGTACGTGGGCCATCACTGCTGCCTCCCAGGGCGCACGTTAGCAGGAAGCTGGAATCGGGAACGGAGCAAGGACTGGCACCCAGCCTCGCGACGTGGGAGGCGGGGGTCCTGAGGGCGCCCTAACCGCAGCATGGACACCTGCCCTCCCCCCTTTCGTGTTCCCTCCACGCCCTTCCTGTGCCCTTCACCCTGCTTGATTCTCCTCCAAGGCCTCCCACAAGCGCCTCCCCCACCCCGGCCACTGTCCTTGCGCCCTGGCCCAGCAGGGCCGGTCATCCGGGCTTCTGGGCTGCAGCCCGCGTTGTTTCCTGTGGCTGCTCCGGCACAGGGCCGCACACCTGGGGCTGAACCAGAGCCGGCTGCTCTGGCCGCACGCAAGTCTGGAGTCCAAAATCCATCTCATGAGCCGAGATCGCCTCGTTCTGCATTCTTGGGGGCTCTAAGACTCCACTCATCGCCTCTTCCCACTTCTGGGGGGCTCCCTGCACTTTGCATGGCTTCCCCCTGCCTCTGGTTTGGCTTTCTGGTTTTTGGTTTTGGCTCCCCTAGGACTTCCTCCTCCTCCTCCCCACAGCACTAATGTAATCACATATGCAGGGACCTTTGCCCAGAACACAACCTTGGGAGGTTCAAAGGATGGGGACCTTGTCGTAGCCAGTTCAGGCTTCTGCAACAAAGTATCAGATAAACCCATACAGAACAGAAGTTCACTTCTCCTGGTTCTAGGGACTGGGGCACCAAGATCAAGGCAGCAGCAGTGTCTGTAACAGCCAGGGCTGGGCTGAGAAGGAGCCAGGAGCTCCTTCCCCGTCTCTGACATGAGGAAAAGGAACGCAGCACTTGAGCCGTCACCAGCTGCCTCCAGGCTCGTGAGCAGGAAGCTGTTTCAGAAGCAGAAGCAGAGGGGACTCCATCCAGCAAAGGAGGGAGATGCAGGCTGGGACAACGGATTCCCCTAAGTCATGGGGCCAGCTGTCCTGGTGAATTCGGAAGCTGGGAAGCAGCGTGGGCTGGGCTTTCCTTTGCCGTTGGGAGAAGGCACCCGCTCAGTGCGTGTGACCGAGTCTGTGCTTCTGCACCCTGGACCAGGACTGTGACCCTCTGAGAGCTGTGATCAAGGGTGGGCGTCTGGCCTGGCGACCCACGCTGGAGTACCTGGGAGACCCGGAGGACGCTCTTGGCTCCTGGCTTCAGATTGGCAGAGAACTGGCCGTTGCAGCCAACTGGGGAGTGAACCAGTGGATGGAAGACCTCTCTCTCTCTCTCTCTCTCTCTGTGAAACTGACTTTCAAATAAAATAAATAAACCTTTAACAAAATGCTTTGAGCGCTTGAAACTAGTAAGGCAGGGTAGAGAGATGATTTAGAAAAAAACCAGATAAACCCAGGAATAACCACTGGGGCTCTTTAGTCAGTCACTCACAGGAAATCAGCCTGCGCGGGTGTGGGGCAGAGGTGTTCTGACCCAGGAGCGCTTTGGGGCACTTATCCTCTTTGCTGAAAAACAAGCGAAGCCCATGACACCTTTCAGAGTCGGGAGGGCTGTGATGGGGAGGGGGCGTGATGAAGGAGACGTGGGGTGAAGTGACGTGCTAGGTCTTGGCTTGGCTGGTGGTTACACATGTGCGTGTGCGTGTGTGTGTATGTATGCATGGGCTTGTGCATGTCTGTGTGTATGTGTGCACCAATGTTTCCTTCCTGTGGCAGAGCAGGAAGCATTGAGACCGCCTCTCACAATGAGGGTCAGGTCCCAAGAAAGATGCCAGTGTGCAGAAGGAAAATGGACTGAGCTGCCTCTGGCGCCACTGCTGGGCCTCTGTGCTCACCCAGGCATGGCCTTGCTGTGACCCCCCCGGTTATGAGCAGCAGAAGTGCTCACTGGGTTGGGTTTCCTTTCAGTGTAGCACAAAGCATCTTGGGTATTATGTTGAGGGGCCCCAAGACCACCTTGGGTCTGGTGATTCAGTAAGAGAACTCACACGTTCACAGTTACAATTCACTACCGTGACAGAACAGGCAGCAAGGTCAGCCAAGGGTGAAGTGCACAGGAAGCCAGGCACAAGCCTGAGGAGCCCTGCCCCCGCGGAGTCACCCAGCACGCACCGAGGCTCTGCAGTCAGGACGTGTGACCACTGGGACCACTGACTCCATTGGGAGCCAGTTATCCAAGGACTGACTACAGTTACTGAAACGCCGGACTCCACAAAAGTCCAAGTTCATGGCACTGGTGAGGGCCTGACGCTGTTTCAACTCGCAGCAGAACAGAGAGAGGCAAGAGGGCGTGTGCAAAAGTGGACAAAACTGGAGGGGCCACCTTGCTCGGTAACAACCTGCTCGCGTAGCTAACTCCGTCCCAGGAGGGCTGCATCAATCCTCCGAAATTCCTCCGAAAATCCCAACTCCCGTCACCTCCACAATGCTAACAAACTTCACCAGGCTTTT